TATTATTTCTTGACAATCAAGTAAGACCTTGGTGTATTAGTTTCCTCTGTTAAACCAAGCTTTAGAAACCTTGGTATTATTTTTGACTCTGCCATGTCAATGCAGTGCCATTCTCGTGGACTAATCCGAAACTGCTTTTTTCAATTAAGAAATATTTCTAGCAGAGGCGATTGCTCCAAGACCGCAAGRGAAGCTCAGCTTCCCCTAAAATGTAAAAAAAAAAAAAAGAAAAGATCAAATATATACTGTTGTGTGTACATGTCATTGACTAAATATGCGCTACAATGCACTCAACTTTTGTTCTGAGTCAGATCCTTATCACTGGTAACGACGTGGCTTTCCTCTCCGTCATTCCTGCAGCTTCACAGAGCTTTAAACAGTCGGACGCTGTGAGTCCACAGAGTTTAAAAGTGGAGCAAAGAGTGCAGCGAAACGAGAYGAGTCACTGGATAAATGCTGGGCTCTGTACCACCCATCGGATGCTCAGCGTCTCTGGGGGTCTATGGAGCAGTGGGCTGGCCTTGGCTGGCCTGGACGCTCAGCTTCTGCATGATGATTGGATGATCTGTGAGAGGCTGAATCCCTTTTTGATTGACAGCAAAATGAGTGAATCAGCGATCTTTTGGTGAAAACATCCGTGGGAGCTGTTTTTTTAGTTTAATTCTGTTCTGAGTTGAATCAGAGACTTTATTAATCCTTTTAGCAGCATTTTCTTTGTTAAAAACGACTAGCAAGAAATCAAGCTTCTATTTCTGGTGGGGGGTTTTGTAGCTGCTTATGTTTGGAGACGGACTTATTCTGACTTTCTGCCCAGTGGCTGCTGCTGAGCCCCTCCATCATCACAAAGCACTCACAGGCAGACACACTTCACACTAACCTTGCGCCAGCAGCAAGCTGCACATCATGGCAGACAGTTTGAATGTTGTGGACCGGATTTTGGAGAAGCCATTTGACAGTCTTCCTTACGAAGAAAAACTTAGAGTTAAACATCAGGGGTGATCAACTCCTCAGATAAATTTGGTGCAAAGGTGGGGAAAAGTAAGATTTAAAAAAAAACTTTTTTATTGATCCACAGCTGGGAAATAACAGGTCTTTTCAGCTGTCCTGGTATGAGACTATAGAATTATCTGGAAAATGAATATAAAAGCATTGGATCAATTAATTCCTTTAAAAAATGATTGAAGCAAAATTGTTAAAGAAATTTAACAATTTGTATTGTATTGTTTTGTTGTATATTTTGTTTTTTAAGTTTTTTTACAGGTGGCACCCAATGTAGACAAGTTTTTTTTTTTTTACAGGCAGCACACAATGCGGACAAGTTTTTTTTACAGGTGGCACCCAATGCGGACAAGTTTTTTTTTTTTTACAGGCA